AGTAGGTTTCAGTCACAGTTGAAGGACCCTGAGATTAGGAAACTCCAATCTTTCACAAGGGGGTATAAGCCAACCTACCCAATCTTTGCCCCACAGGGAGACATTACCTTCGTTTTACTAGAGAGCAAACACACCTGCCCTCTGCCATGGAGGGAGATGCTATCTTTATTTTCCAAGGCTGTTTGCTACATAAACATCCTTGAAAAGGTAATCAAAAGCTGACAATGCCTCTGCTCAGAAGACATACAGAAACACAAGAGACCTATGGAGAATCATCTCCCAATAATTATTCTTTTGTAATTTATTTCTAACATAATTGCACTGTGGTCAGAGAATATAGTCTGTGTGGTATTGATCCTTGGGACTATTTGTGGAAGCCGGGGAAGTCTAGGAATGAGAGCATCACACATCACAGAACCTGCAGACCAACTCCATTCCCAGTTCCTTCACCAGGCATTGCCTCCATTCAGAGAATCTTCCTTAAATTCCTGGAAAAAAGGAGATTATCTCCAAGAGGAGATAAACTTCTTAGGTTGCAATCCACTGTCTTTGAGGGTATGGAGAGGAAAGGAAGGAGGAAGCAAATGCCGTAGGGCAACTAGATGTTATACACGTGTTCTCACCGGATTCTCAACTTGGGAGGGTCTTGAAGCTACCCTGATATTCTCCCCATCTCCCCAACCCTTCCATCCCCTCCATATGCATAACCGGTCTGCTCTTGCTAATTTCCAGTCCATGGAAGCGATGGGGCCAGAAAAACATCCCGCCAAATCAACGTAGGGGATAAGTAAGAGCAAAATTCACCCGCCATAGCTACACCTACTGCTCCACTATGTCCCCATCCCAGACTGCCATGAGCTTCTACACCAACTCACAACTGTCTTTGGCCTCCTTGTGGCATTTTCAAAGTTTTGATGTTAGTTCCGCAGACTCTGCCTTCTCAACTCCTCTATTAATTCCTTAACTCTGGCTGCATATTAGCTGGAACTGAGGAGTATTTAAAAAACTCTAGTGCCCAGATTCTGCTTCTGAAGATTCTGATACAAATGGTCCAAGGAGGGCCCCTGATTGTCAATAGTTTTTAAAGCTTCCTGGGTAATTCTAATGTGCAAGAAAGGTTTCCAATTTCCTCTGGGATGATTTAGGGGAAGGGACCTCACAGCCCAGGTTTCTTAATTTTCCTGTCAGGAGCAAGAAACTTGTATTTTGTTTAATGTTCAAATTACTGAACTCATATACCTAATAAAAAATATTTTTAAAACAAAGTATCTTGAAATTTTAAACTGACTATAATTTGATTAATTCCTCCTATATCTTTTAAAATGCATTTGCAGATTTATTATGGCTGATTTTTTGAACACTTCAAATATATAAAACTTTCACAAATGCAGTGACTACAAAGCTTATTATTATACTTACACTTGAATGTATTCTAAAGCCTCAGAACAATGGACTTATTCATTTCTTTGATAATTTATGTGCTTGTTTTATACCTTCTGAGGGGATATTAGTATACTTATTTTAATATCTTCCTAGGGTTTTAGTAATATATTTTTATTCCTTCCCAGGGGTGGAGTAATATTACTAGACCCCAAAGAAAAAGTATACGTGCTCAGCCCAGCCAAGGCAGCAGAATCTGGATTACTGGCTGATCCATTTTTGGTCTGGGTACAGGACACATCATCAGGCTGCAATAACTTTTGGCCTTACTGCAACATGATTTTTAAGGTCACACCTTCACTTGGGTTTTATTTTTTTACAACCTGATGTCTTTCAGGAAATAACATACTTTTAAAGTCTCACTTTACCAGAGTTACAGAACCCAATATCCTATCAGTATGATATATTGACTTGGTCTGTTACCTTTTTAAAGAAATATGTATTCCTTATTGGTGTTTTATTAAAATGAGTAGGACCATTTAGTGGTTTCACTTCCTGTAAGATGAGGCATTGGGTCTGGGTTGTAGTTTCTTCCTCTTTGGGACATTTGACTAATTCATCTTTTTGGAAGACCCTGTTGACCCTTTCTTCTACTTGGTAATTTTGTGTGATCACTGATCCTGATTAAGTGTTGGACTTTCTTTCCATCTAAATTATATGTTAATCTCATACCAACAAAACCAGTCTGTCCTCCTCTTGATAGAGTTCCTGTTTTTTTCCTAGATTATTGGTTTGCTCATTTCCATAGCTTTTTTTTTCTCAGAAACAAATATGCACATATGTATTTATGCATTTCTATACAAAACAATAATTAATGAAATATCCATATATAAATAACAGCCGCTTGTTAAAATCCATTAACAAGAAGCAAATCCATAATTGGTTATCCATTTTTTGATTACAGCTATATTTTTGTACTCATTATTTTAACTTTTCTCTTTTGAGAAATATTATGAACCCATGGTCTTTCATGGACTCAACTTGCTCCAAGTCACCATAATAACAATAATATTTTGTGCTCAAATTGTTGCAGCTTGGTCAATGGGAACCCTTAAATTGGGTCCTTTGGCATTCTCATATTGATCCTAACATTTAAAAAAAAATCAGATTCTTGCTTTCTGGTGGCAACAGGATATTCCAGTCTCATTCTGATCGTTCTTTTCCCTTACCCAGCACAAAGAGCCATCTATTCTCTGGGCAGTCCTGTTTTATTTTTTTAATTGAAAAAAGTATTAGAATAGTGGGCATGGGAGGACACATATGAAAGATGGGCAAAAGTTTCAACACTGCTGTCGAGCCACTTGCACTGGAAAATGCGACTTTAAAAAATAAACTATGGTTTCCAGTGATTTTTCAAATATATATATATATATATATATTTAACATCTTTATTGGAGTATAATTTCTCTACAATGGTGTGTCAGTTTCTGCTGTATAACAAATTGAATCAGCTATACATATACATACATCCCCACAGCTCCTCGCTCTTGCTAATGGTGTTATATTGATGTACCCTACTTTTCTTATAGTAATTGGTATCACCTGATACCAAGACTTTCTCCCCAGTAACAACAGTTCTATAAATATACATGCTCCTAACATGGTCTAAGCACTATCCCTGCTTTGAGGAATTCACAGTCTAGTAGGAGATAAGCTGGATGTTACATGTCTCTCTTCTTCTCGCCATAGGATCTTAGACATTGCTTGTCAGAATATCTCACTTCCCTTGGCACATAATACTCCTGAGAATAACTTGATGGAGACTGAGATCAACACAGAGATTTAAAAAATAGCCATAGAGGTCTTGGAAGGCTGAGATACACAGACAAGTGGCTGGAGATGCTCAGAAACAAAGAAACAAAAACAAAGACAGGAAGAGATGAATGGAATGAGAGGGAGGGAGATGTGTTTTTGTGATGAGAAGTGTGGGAAAGAGAGAGTACTGAGAGAATGGAGCAGGAAAGATAGCAAGAGGATTACAGCAATATTTGGGACAAAAAATAAAGGGAGAAAAATAAATGACAGATATAGAAAAAATGATTAATTTTGAGAGAAGATTTACAGCAAGATATGAGAAGCAGGGAGAGACATGAGGACAGTAAAGGAAAGAAAAATGGTCAGGATGAGAAAGAAAAGTAGAGAGAAGCTCACTCATACTATTTCTTTCCCAGACCATAAATACAAGCCACAGACTCACTGATGGAAAAAGCCAGCAGAATCTGAATGGTTTTAGCTGAACTCATATTAAGAAGTAAGCTCTATCGGGGGAGCTACATATTTCCATTCTCAGTTTTGCTTGGGCATTGGTCATTAGGCTACTTATTGTTTGCCTACAGCATCTTCATGTTCATCTTGTTGGCCATCTTAGGCTTTGTAAGCTCAGCTACTAGATTTAACTTCCCATAATTCATGAGTTGGAAGATCTCTGTGTTCTTACATTCAGTGCTGGGATTAGCTGAAAGTCAAAGGTCTCACTTGCCCCACGCATGGTTGATCAACCCTATTCTGTCACCATTTCCATCATTGTCAGCCGGCTATACCACAGTGCAGAAGCAAGAAGTGTTATTCTTACAAATACTTAAAGCCTTCAGTCTCTGCATCACAATCTCACAAAATGCTCCATCACTAGCCACTTGTCCCTTCCCATAGTCCAGTTTAATATTCTCTAGACCACGTGACCAGCACTTCACAGAAATTTGTTGGAAGAATGGCTACCCAGTTCTGCTATTCCAATGTCAGCCAGGGGAGAAAGGCAGAGACCTTAGACATTTGAAAATGCATCAAGTTAGCATTTTAAAAGCTGATGGCCAAAACTTTCCTTGGATTCTTCTCCTCATTCTCTTGTTGCAAACCCTTTCTTCTTGTTAATATGGGCTTATATCACCTGGGGTCTGGGGTCTGCCCAGGTTGACTTTCTCATGGTGGTGAGACTAAAGTGGACTCCTTTCCAGCCTGCAGGGATAGGCCAAGTGACTCATGGCTCCAACGTCAGCATCTACCAAGCACTGGTCCCAAAATTTGGTATGTATAAGAGTTATCTGGGAGCCTGTTAAAAAGGCAGGGATCCACTCGCAGGGATTTGGTCTGAGGAAAGGGGATGGGGGCAGGCATCTGAATTATAAGACCCCCTAATGTGATTCTGATGTGGGCCTCCCTATGCCATTTCTTGAGAAATATTGCCCAGAGTAATGACAGTAGGTCTTTGCTTACATTTTAGAAGGTGTCTTGCCAATCCTGAACCCAGTATGACCCTCTGCTTATGTCAGGCACAGGTATATCTAAGTCTTCAAATCTTCTTCCTGGACCATATATCCTACTGTTGCCATCTTCAACATAAGTTCACAGCCTGGATACACTGTTAAACTTGACTTGCAGAGTTGATGTAAACTAATTATGAGCATCACATCTTTTTTAGGATAGGCAGTCTACTCTTTTAGTGTACAGTATATTCCTATAAATCTGCTAGAAAATCAGAAGTTCAACAGAAGAATTTATATATTATGAGGGGCTTTCAGTCTCAGAGAGCTAAAAAAATGATAAAATTCATAGTAATATCCTACCTTTTAGATTCCATCTTTGATGATATTTCCAGCATCTTGTACATGTTCTTTCCATTTTGTTCTTTTCTTGTTCTTTATTGCACTTTCATCATTTTTAATCATTTCCGTCTTTGACTCTATCATAGTACCTGTGAGATTTTACTTCTTATCACTAGTATCAGAGTTACATATTTTTTCCTTTTTCCACTCGCTCTGCTGTGCACATGTAGTGATGTTTCTAAGACCGAACAATTGGTTGCCAGGCATGGCCACCATGAGGTGGCTTAGAACGTTCTTTGCCTGGCTTATAAAAATCTGAACTTTGTATCTGGAAGGTGCATAGAGGTGTCAGTGCAAAGGACTTAAAAATGCAGGATGTAAGGATATTAAAAGTCTGAAGCTGAGGGCTGTCTCAAAAATGAGAAACCAGTTTAAATGAAACTGGTTTGCTATACAAAGTGCAAGATAAAGCTTTATTACTCATCCATATATTTTGCTAAATATGTTGTATTACAGCAATGAAGACTTGAAGACAAGGACCTTACAGACTGGTGGAGGAGACAGACAGGTAAATTACAAGTAAACTCTATAAAAGAAATACAGGGTGCTGTGTGTACATTCATAGGGAGCCCTCTCACCAGAGGAGGCTGAGTATGGTTTAGCCAGTGAAGAAGGTAGAAAAAAATGTCACAAAATATCTAAGGCCTTAGAAACAAGAAACAGCATGGTATTGCGGCAAATTGTAGTTTTCAAAATGGATGTAACATTATTTCCCATTCCACAGGCTTCTCTTGACAATGTGACTTTGATGTTCCACCAGATTAGAGCTGGATCAATGTGATTTCTGATCTCAGAGTGATGCTATGCAACTTCTGAGGCTAAGTCATAAAAGATGATAGAGCTTGGGATGCTTTCTCTTGGAACCCAGCTGCCATGCTATGAGGAATCAGCTACTTGAAGAAGCCATGTGTGGGTGTTGTGGGTGACAGCCCCAGGGGAAGTCCCAGTCTAGCATCAATCACCAGACATATGGGTCAATAATCCTTCAGATTGTTCCAGATGCCAGCCTATGCCTCTTCCTTCCTGCGGTCCCAGACATCAGTCAGCAGAGAAAAAGTTCAGCAGTAGAGAGGGCTTCAAGCATAGTTCCAACAGGACTCTTCCAGTCCTCTTTAATTTATCAGCAATCTCTTTTGGGTGTGGGTGATTTCTTTTATGATATTAAAGAGCTGCAGGAGTTCCAGACTTCAGATTTGTATATCTTGTATTGAGAACAAGAGAGAGACAACTCTCTTATTCCCAACCATTCAAAGCATAAAGCAAAACAAAACAAAACAAAATTGTACTTCTCTCTGATTGGCCCTACTGAACCAATTACTGATGCTAGAGAAATTCCATATGTTGATTGGCTTAAATCTGATTCACTGCACAATGACTGTAGCAAGAGATAAGAGACTATGTTAACCAGCTTTTGTCAATCAAGGCTCAACCCTGGAGCAAGGAAGTGAAGTTAATCCCACCAACCAAAATTCTGCTGCACGGCTGGAGGGGGATATTTAAAAAACACATCTATATGTATATTTTTCAAATCACTTTCTCTAGACCATTGTTGGACCCCAGCAGTTTAAATGAGTGGGCTGCAGATAATCTGGTAGTTTCAGAGAGGTCAAAAATACTTTAAAAATTGTTTATCTATCTATCTATCTATATCTATATATATATTCCACAAATTTGGAACATAAAATTATTTTCACAGAAGTATAGACATATTCCTATATTTTTATTCTTAAAGATCATCCATCTTCCAAACAGTTGTCTTCTGCTGAAAATCAGTCAATAGAGTTCCTCTGGGCTAACGTAGCTTCCCACCATTCACACTGTACTGTCTACTTGACTATGAGTTTTATGAGACCACATCTATTATTGCTCACTTTTATATTCTGAGCTACAGCACAATGCCTGGCATGTACTCAATATACTCATAAGTACTCAAATAAATATTAGTTGAATGAATGTTTCCTTAATTTGCATATTTCTCATTTCTATTATAATGTATTTAGCCACAGTTCACAAAAAATGGTTTATTGGTCAAGAATAATGATGTACATATTAAATTAATGCAAATTATATAAATTTAAATAGTGAGCTGATTCCAGTGTAAATAAAAAATGAGAAAATGAATGTGCTGGGCATATGAAACTGTGTAAAATGATGATTTGACATGAACAGATGAAATATAAAAGTGTGAATATGAAGGACAAATGTACATTATTAAGTCTATATAAAATTTGGATTTTATTGAACTGGTGGCGCTTTTACCTCTAACTCTCAATTCATTGTTCATTATAAAACTATCATATATATATATGTTCTAGGGAAGTCATTCAAAAAATAGAAAGAGTGTATAACTTCTAAATCCATATAGAGAAAATTATGGTTAAAAAATACCCATCATTTAAGATCCAATAATACACAATAATTCAAAAGGAAGCAATTAAGGATGAAAAAACAGAATGAAATAAAACATGGAAGAGGTGGGATAAGTAAAAGCACAAATTGAGGTGGTTAATTTAAACCCAGTTAATTTTATATTACAGTAAATGCAAAGGAACTAAGTTCACATTTAAAAGGCTGGATTGTTAGACTGGATAAAAATATACATTATACGCTGTTTAAAAGAAACACACCTGGGCTTCCCTGGTGGCGCAGTGGTTGAGAGTCCACCTGCCGATGCAGGGGACACGGGTTCGTACCCTGGTCTGGGAAGATCCCACATGCCGTGGAGCAGCTGGGCCCGTGAGCCATGGCCGCTGAGCCTGCGCGTCCAGAGCCTGTGTTCCACAACGGGAGAGGCCACAACAGTGAGAGGCCCGCGTACTGCAAAAAAAAAAAAAATAATTAAATAAATAAAAGAAACATACCTAAAACATAAGGATATAGAAAGGTTGAAATTAAAGTATACAAAAATATCTCATTCAAATTGTAAAAAAAGAAAGCTGATGTAGCTATATTAACATTGAACAAAATAGACTTTAAGGCCAAAGAATTTCTAGAGATAAAAGAGCTATCTCATAATGTCAAAAACATCATCTCACTAGTAATATATGTAAGTTTTTAATTTTTATACACTTAATAACATGCCCTTAAATGCATAACGCAAAAAATAATAGAATACAAAGAGAAATGGATAAATCCAAAATCCTAGTCAGAGATTTTGAGTCTTTCAATAATCGATAGAGTAACCAGGAAAAAAAGATAAATGATTTGAACAACATACTTAAGAATTTTGACCTAAATTGATATACAGATGTTATAGTCACCTTTCAGAACTGAGATAGACTCCTCAATCAAACTTTGGTTCAGATGTTGATACTGGTGATACCACACACATATCAACAGGACATGAAAAGTTTTATTATTCAACTAATGGGCCAAATACTTGGAAATTGAACAACACAATTCTAAATAACCTCCAAGTCAAAGAATAAATCACAAGGAAATTTAGCATATATTTTAAAGGGTATAGCTCTTCTTCTGTTTTTTTCAGAAAACACAGTAGATGGGAACACTTTCCCACTAGTTTTATGAGGCCAACTTAACCTTGATACCAAAACCTAAAAAACACGCAACAGGAAAAATATTACAGACCAATACTCCTAATAAACATAGACACAGACACCTTTAAGCAAATTTTAGCAAATAAAATCTAGTAATATGTTAAAGGATATCATTATATTATCCTAGTAATAATGCAAAGCTCATTTAACCTTTGGGAATCAATCAGTGTAATCAATAACATTAACAGCATGAAGGAAAAGGGTCATATGATTATTTCAACAGATGTAGAAAAATATTTTACAAAAGTCAATATTCATTTATGATAAAAAACTTTCAGCAAACTAGGAATAAAAGGGAATTTCCCCTGTCTGACAAAGGCTATCTATGTAAACCTACAGCTAAACTTATAATAGTGAAATATCGAACTTTTACTGTAAGATTAAGAATAAAGCAATGATGACCACTCTTACCATTTCTTTTAGACATTGAGCTGGCAGTCCTAGCCTGTGCAATAAAGAAAGAAAAAGAAATAAAGGGTATAATAACTGGAAAGGAAGATGTAACATTGTATTTGAAGACAAAATGATTTTTGGAAAATCCTAAGAAATCCACAAAAGAATTTATCAAAATTAGGAGAGCATGGTTACAGGACACAAGGTCAATATAGCAGATTCTCATTATTTGCTGAAGTTTTATCCTATAAAGATGTTGTGAACACTGAATTAGCAAATACTAACATTTGCTCCTAGGAAAAATGCAAGGTTACGTTCTCATGAACCTGAGTACAACACTTTGGACAGTCAATCAATAGGAACCTTTTTTTTTAATGCGTGCTTTTGCTTAAAGACATCTTTTAAAATATATATTGTTGATTCAATAACATTGAACTCATGGCCAACAGCATTATAACTCATGCCTGAACAAAGCTTATCTACACATGTATTTTTCTTGTTAGGCACATCACAACCATCTTGTGCTTAGGAACACCAGAGAGCAGTTCAGCACTACCTTAGGGGACATTTTAAACAGCAACATCACCAACAGAAAAGATAAAAATGCAACAAATGTGACACTAAATATACCATGAAAAGGACACTTGTTTTCATTATGACAACTAAAACAAGAAGGCAGAACGTTGCCTTCTGACCTCAGCTGGGAGGTGTGTGTTGGTTGACTTAAATTTTTCATCACCCTGCTCATGTCTGTGAATGAACATGAAAGCACTGTGAGTATTGACTTTGGGGTTACAAATATCCTTTAGCAAATAGGTGAATTTGTAAATACAGAATCTACAAATAATGAGGATCAGCTATATATAAAAATAAATTGTATTACTATATACTAGCAAAAACAATTGGAAGTAAAACTTTAAAATACTTTAAAATATAAAAAAGTCATAAATAAATTTATTTCAGAATAAAATTTAAACTGAAACTTACAAAATTTTGCTGAAAAAAATGATCTAAATAAATGAGATATCTCATATCCATGCATTGGAAGATTCAATATATTAAGATATCTATCTTCCCCAATTCATCTATAGAGCCACTATAATCCCAATAAAAATACCCCAAATCTTTTTCTCTGTAGAAATTGGCAAGTTGATTTTAAAATTTATATGGAAATGCAAAGACCTAGACTAGCTAAAACAATTTTGTAAAATAAAAATAAAGTTGAAAGAACTACATTACATGATTTGAAGACTTACTACAGAGCTACAGTAATCATGACAGTACGGTATTCATGTAAAAATTTTTAAATGGAAAAGAACAGTAAGTCTAGAAAGAGACCCACACATATACAAGTCAATTGATTTTCCAATAAATTGCTAAGACAATTCAATGGGAGAAAGGAACTTTTCTGTACCAAGTTATACAGGAACAACTGGGTTTCCATATGGAAAAGAAAATGAAGTTTGACCCCTACTTCACAGTATTCACAAAAATTAATTCAAGGAGGATAATAGTACTGAATGTAGTAGTTAAAACTATAAAACCTCCAGAAGAAAACAGAGGAGAATATCTTTGCAAACCTTGGGCAGGCAAACCACTTTAGAGAGAAAATCAAAAAGCACTTGCCATAAAAGAAAAATCAGTGCATTGACTTTATCATAATTCAAAACAGAAGTATTTTACCTAGAACATATATAGAACCCATACAAATCAATAATAAAAAGACAATTCAAATTTTAAAAATGGGCAACAGACCTGAACATTTACTTCACAAAAGAAGAAATAAAAAATGACTAAAAAGCACATAAAAACATGATTAACACCATTAGAGGGGCTTCCCTGGTGGCGCAGTGGTTGAGAATCTGCCTGCCAATGCAGGGGACACAGGTTCGAGCCCTGGTCTGGGACGATCCCACATGCCGCGAAGCAACTAGGCCCGTGAGCCACAACTACTGAGCCTGTGCGTCTGGAGCTTGTGCTCCACAACAAGAGAGGCCGCGACAGTGAGAGGCCCGCGCACCGTGATGAAGAGTGGCTCCCGCTCGCCACAACTAGAGAAAGCCCACGCACAGAAACGAAGACCCAACACAGCCAAAAATAAATAAATAAAAATTTAAAAAACCAAACACATCATTAGACATCAGAGAAAATAAAATTAAAGCAACAATGAGATGGCTGAAAAAGCCACACTAGAATTGTTCAAAATAATAAAGGCTCACAACAACAAATGTTGGCAAATATGTGGGGCAGTTAGAACTCTCTATACATTGCTGGAGGGAGTGTAAAATTATACAAATACTTTGAAAACATGTATGGCAATTCCTTATAAAGTCCAACTTAAAACTATTCTTTGACCCAGTAGTTCCACTGAACAAAAGACTTGTACAAAATGTCTTTATTCATAATAGCCCCAAAGTTAGAAACAACCCAATAGAATGGATAAACAAATTGTGGTATCTTCACACTATGCAATAAAAAATTATCAATTTCTGATACATGAAACAATATGAGTGATTCTCAAAAACATATGTTGGGTAAAAGAAGCCTGACACAAGAGTACATACTGTATTGTTCCATTTACAGGAAGTTCTAGGAGAGACAAAATCAATCAATGGTGAACAAAATTAGAAAAATAGTTGCTCATAGGGGAGGGCAAGGATAGACTAGAAGAACTTTTCTCAAGTGATTGAAATGTTTTATATCTTAATTGGGATGTTGACGATATTTTCAAAATTAATTAGATTTTACACTTAAGTGCATTTCACTGTATATAAATTTCACCTTCAAAAAAAGGTCTTGCATGGAAGCAACCTAAGTGTCCATCGACAGATGAATGGACAAAGAAGATGTGGCACATATATACAATGGAATATTACTCAGCCATAAAAAGAAACGAAATTGAGTTATTTGTAGTGAGGTGGATGGACCTAGAATCTGTCATACAGAGTGAAGTAAGTCAGAAAGAGAAAAACAAATACCGTATGCTAACACATATATATAGAATCTAAAAAAAAAAAAAAGTGGTTCTGAAGAACCCAGGGGCAGGACAGGAATAAAGATGCAGATGTAGAGAATGGACTTGAGGACACGGGGAGGGGGAAGGGTAAGCTGGGACGAAGTGAGAGCGTGGCATGGACATATATACACTACCAAATGTAAAATAGATAGCTAGTGGGAAGCAGCCGCATAGCACAGGGAGATTAGCTCGGTGCTTTGTGACCACCTAGAGGGGTGGGATAGGGAGAACTGGAGGGAGACGCAAGAAGGAGGGGATATGGGGATATATATATCCGTACAGCTGATTCACTTTGTGATACAGCAGAAACTAACACACCATTGTAAAGCAATTATATTCCAATAAAGGTATTTTAAAAAAAAAAGGTCTTGAACAATCTCTTCTCGGCACAAAAGCCACCATCAAGTACACACACATACTTCACATTAACACATCAGATTGCAAAAATTAAAATCTAACTGTCGGGACTTCCCTGGTGGTCCAGTGGTTAAGACTTCACCGTCCAATGCAGGGGGTGCGGGTTCGATCCCTGATCGGGGAGCTAAAATTCTACATGCCTCGCAACCAAAAAAAAAAAGAAAAAAAAAAAACCCAAAACATAAAATAGAAGCAATACTGTAACAAATTCAATAAAGACTTTTAAAAAAAATCTAATTGTCATTGAGTATGTGAAACAACTGAACTGTATTCTCT